GATCAAAAAAATTATAGGTCACATTTTATCTATCGGTCACACATTTTCAAATTTGGTCGCACAACAACCAAATAGTTGGTCACATACAATATCCCACCCTCGCCACCGTCACAACACCACCGTTGCCAATTGATACTGACATCGCCAACAAAAATCATCACCACCAGATCTCTGGCCACCAACAACCACCACCCGTTGTCGCCACCAGATCCATCGCTAACCCCATAAGCGTCAGTGCCACCACAACAGCACCACCACCAACAAAGCCGTGACCACCAGATCCAGCAAAACAAATCCCAATGTCGTCACCACCAAAACCAACAAAAAAAATCCTAAACCCGCCACCAGATCCACCACCATCCCTGTCCTCTCAACAACACAGACATCACCCGCAACCTGCACAATTATCAACGCACCACCACCACTGAACAACCACTAACACCACCATCTCTCACCACGACAACCACTACTAAAACACAACCATTTACAAACAGAAAACAACACAACCACCAAACCACAGCCACTTGCAACCACCCTCACCCGCCACCACCGCCACAATACTACAACACTCCTAGCAACAAAGTCACTGCCAACAAATCACTACACCACCACCTAAATCCAACAACACAGACATCACCACACCAAACCAAACCACAACACAATCACAACCCCCTACCGCAAACCCGCCACCTCCACAACCTTTAGATTTCTCCACTAAGCGGCTCCGGCTAATCAGGTTAGATCGGAGGAGAACAAAATCACTCCAAAAAACCCAAGCTCCCTCCCTAAATTTTCTCTGATGCAGGCGACCAAAAAACACCAGATCCCTTACTCCCCAGGTTTTTCTGCAACGGTGAGTTTGAAGTTGCCTTGCGACACCGTTGTAGTAGTGAACAAACAGATGAAGCAGCTTGTAGTAGCAGGTGTCGCAGCCTGTAATAATAGGCTGCTATTACAGAGTTCGTTCGCTCACAGCGGCGCCACTACAGCGGCGTCATCTTCCGGTGGCGCCTTGTCGCAGTGGGCTACTAGCGTCGCGTGCAGCGGCATCGCAGTGCTCCCGGTGGCGCCTTCTCGTAGCGACGGCATAGGACAACAACACACATCGCCGACTGTGATGGCGCAGCACAGTACAGCACAGCAATAGCGACGCCACTGCTCGACACTCACATCAAGGGGGGCCTCATAGCGACGTTCGGAGGTATCTCCGGTGACGGGAGCTCCTCAATGGCGACGCCGATCTGAGGGAGAGGGTAGAGAGTGTGAGAGTGAGAGAGAGTGAGACGAGGTGTGAAGAGGAGAAAATGGATAGGAAGGAAGAAAAATGATTTAGGGTTTGTACGTGATTAGTTAGGTGGGTTTAATATTTAATTTTTAATTCAATACCTGATTTTTGATTAAAAAACTTTCTCACCTGATTTTTGTATTTTAAAGTTGAAATAACTGAAATTATGTAATTTCCACAAAGAAAAAATTCGTGATCTCCTTTCATTTTTGTCTTTTTTTTTTAATTATTATCTTTTAGGGCGTAATAAGCATTTTACCAACTTTACCTTCTAACGACCTGGCTAGCATTTTCTGTCGAGCGGGGATCTGATCTCACAGAATTATATAAGTTGGGGAGTGAAACCCTTGATTTTAAAGGTTAAGGAGTCGATTTCACACTTGATGAAAGATTGGGAGCCGAAGCCTAAGTTTTCTATTGCGTGTAGAAAAGAGCAAAATAATTCTAACTCCAGAATAATTTGTTTTTATACCAATCTTTTATAGATGACGGAATGCTCAGCATTCTTTATAATTATCCGTCCCATTGACTTCAGATTTCCACTTCTCTTTCAACAAACACCATGAGCCAATTCTCCAGGAGGAGCTGGTGCTGGAGCTCATGGAGTAGGTGGTTCTTTCGCTGCCAAAACCAAAACAGAGTTCAAAATTGTCGACAACTATGTCGATTGACGGAAAATGTTGAAGAATCATGGGAACCCATGAAAGGTCTGGTCAAGTGCTCTGCCAATCATGTCCCTTTGTCTCCCATTAGTTTCTTGGAGCGAGCTGCAAAGGTTTACAGAGATAGAACATCGGTTGTGTATGGTTCAGTGAAGTATAGTTGGGGCGAGACTTACGTAAGGTGTGTTAAGCTGGCTTCTGCCTTGACCCAGCTCGGGATTGCTCGGGGTGATGTTGTAAGTTTCCATATAGATTGGGCATTTATTGTTTTTTGTTCGGTCTCATTCTCTTAGTTTCTTAGTATTTTATGCATCTTTGATTGCATTTTTTGCTGGTTAAAGCTTCATCACTTCATTTAGGCTATGATCTTTTGTTCAAATTTTACGGGATCGATATACCTAAAGATAAAAGATGGTGGGTTTTATTGATCACTTTATCTAGACATTCTAGAAGATTCCGGTGAACATGGCTAGAATTTCTTGATTTTATCGTTGAGAGCTTCGATAGAAAGAGACTCCGGGATTAGACAGATCAGTTTTTCATTCGAACGATGGGGAAGACTAGCCCGAGTGAGGACCGACTTGCTGGTATTGAAACAGGGAGTTGATTCCTTGACAAGTTAAAGCGATTCAGAGTTTTGGTATATAGACCCAATAGAGGTAAGAATTTGGCCCATTAGAGAACTGTGATCCATGTTATTTCAGTGATGAAATCACAAGAGCCTAAAGAATCTGGTACTAAACCAGATAATTTTTTTGTCCTGCAACTGAAGACTGTTTAGTTGCTTGGATTCCCCCATATTTGCAGGTATATCACCCGAAACTGATTGTAACTCGAATCGATAGAAACCATAAGTGAAGCATTTGAGCATCTGATGAAAATTCACCTGAGGATCTTTTGTTAGCAACAGGCTTGCCATAGACTTTGCATTAACATCTTGCAATTCCCTCAAGTGAATGGTGGTATCAGACCAGTGAATCCTTCTCCAATGACTCAATATATTTAAGTTGGACAAACAGTATAAGGAAGCTGACTGGTGAGCTTTTTCTCGTGAACCGTTAGGAAGAGAAAACTGAATTAACAGGCAGGAGTGGTGCAATTTCTTGACATAAACCTGTATTGCATGTGGACACGCTTATGAAAGGAATCAGACATGTCAGGAAAGATTCTCAACACTGAACGAGAACTTGTATTCGGGATAACAAACTGAAAACTATGAAAAATGAAAGACAAAAGTAAAGCTAAATAATGCTTGAAAGGAGTGGATATAAAACCTTATGTGCATATGGTGAGCTTGCTTTTCATGCCATCTTGGTAGCTTACTAAATTTACACAAATTGACTGTTACTATGAGCTGGGGATTAATGGTTTTCTTTGTCTTTGATCCAAATATGGTTTTTAAGTTTCTCTTGTGAGCTCCACAGCCTGCTCTGAGTGTTTACAGACGTTTGTAGCATTGTATTTGTCCTGAGGACTTTTCCTGAGCAGTATGTGGTTCTAGTAAACATTGTGTTTAAAATGATTTGTTCTTGATTTCTGCTGATGCACTTCTAATATTTATATTTTAGACAGGTAGCGTCTCTGGCCGGTAATATACCAGCAATGCAAGAGCTTCATTTTGCAGTGCCAATGGCTGGAGCAGTTCTTTGTATGCTAAATGCGCGCCATGATGCAGCTATGATATCTGTCCTGCTGCAACATTCAGAAGCTAAGATCATTTTTGTGGACTACCAGTTGCTTCACATTGCACAAGGAGCACTTGATATTCTTGCAGGCAAGAACACAAAATCACCTATTCTAGTATTAATACCTGAATTTGACAATCTATCTCCTGACGATGCTACTTCTGAGTGTTTAAAGTACAAGAATCTTCTGGATATGGGACATAATGACTTCGTCACAAAGCGGCCAAAATCTGAATGGGATCCTATTAGTATTAATTATACTTCTGGCACGACATCACGTCCCAAAGGAGTGGTTTATAACCATCGGGGTGCTTATTTGAACGCCCTTGCAACAATTTTTCTTCATGAAATGACCTCAATGCCGATTTACCTTTGGACTGTGCCAATGTTTCACTGTAATGGGTGGTGCCTAATTTGGGGTTTGGCAGCTTTGGGTGGCACCAACATTTGCCTTAGACATGTCTCGCCAAAAGAAATATTTGACAGTATTGTCCTCAACAAGGTCACACACATGGGTGGGGCACCCACAGTCTTGAACATGATCATAAATTCACCACCTAGTGATCAGAGGCCACTTCCTCACAAGGTTGAAATAATGACAGGTGGTGCATCACCACCACCACAGATAATTTCTAGGATAGAGGAGCTAGGGTTTAGGGTATCTCACTTGTATGGACTTACAGAAACATATGGTCCTGGTACATCATGCATCCGGAAGCCCGAATGGGATACTTTGTCTAGTGAAGAAAGACTAAAGCTTAAAGCACGGCAAGGAGTGCAGCACATTGGTTTGGAGGATGTTGATGTAAAAGACTCTGTCACCATGAAGAGTGTACCAGCAGATGGTATGACAATGGGTGAGATTATGTTTAAAGGAAATACAGTAATGAGCGGATACTTGAAAGATGCGAAAGCAACAGAAGAAGCTTTTGCAGGTGGATGGTTTCGAAGTGGTGATCTTGCTGTTAAACATCCTGATGGATTCGTAGAAGTTAAGGACAGGTTAAAAGACATCATAATCTCTGGTGGGGAGAATATAAGCTCTATAGAGGTAGAAACAGTCTTGTATAGACATCCGGCAGTTGTTGAAGCTGCTGTTGTTGGCAGACCGGATAATCACTGGGGACAAACACCCTGTGCATTCGTGAAGGTGAAGGAAGGATTTACGCTAGGTGCACAAGACATAATCAACTTCTGCCGTGATAATTTACCTCATTATATGGCTCCTCGCACTGTAATTTTTGATGATATACCAAAAACAGCAACTGGTAAGATTCAGAAATTCATCCTAAGGGAGAAAGCAAAGGCCTTGGGCAGTCTTTTCTAAACACAAATGACCACCACTATCTGTATGTTTCCTAATAAGGTAATAAATTGCAAATATGTATGGTCATCGTTGCTAATATATTTTTGGAGAAACCATATCTTTCATATTGTATCATCGAGAAAAGAACCAGAAAAGTCAACTTTAAATTTACTTGCTGCAGTCTTTAGTTCCCTCCCTGCGTTATGCACGTCATCTGTTAGTCACAAATTTCCAAGAGTTTTGCTATAATGCCGATACAAATTCAGAATATAAATGGTTCGAAATTTATAAACAGAATGACAGCTGAGATCTTTAAGAGGTAGGGCTTACACATAGATGGTGGGAAATCTTGTTCAGGCTTCAGAGCTTGCTTTTGAGGAATTGATGAGGAGTATATTTGTTCTTCGTTTTTATTCTTTGAAGTTTTTTTATTTCAAAACTTGTTTCATTGGCGGATGAATAATCGCCAAATGAAAAGCCAATACTTTCCTCAAGGGTTGTGACAATAAAGCAAACAAGACCGCAATCGAAGAGCCCACAGTCGAGAAGAGCATCAGTGGGCGGGAAGAAAAAAGAACCAATCCCTTCTATATATGAACTTTATAACAACAATACAAATGTAGTTTGCGAAATCCTATGCTCTCGTAGTAGTTCACATAATAATAAAGTAACCCCAGTTGAAATCATTCCCAGCACTATTTGACATCATTTGTTATCAACCAGTGCTGGAGACTCTGTCAAGCAAATACTTAAAATTTTTAGCAGTACTAAGGCTGTGAATTTTGTAAAAATTTAGACTGCTTTTGAAATAATTTCTCATGTGGCACAAACTTGTTTGGGAGTCTGTTTTAGCCTTGCCATTCATTCTCGGATCTCCGAAAAACTCCCATCCTCCTATACCAATCATGACATTCATTCGAATGTAATGGACTTTGTACTTGGCACGTGTAAGGTGGGAAGTAATTCGAGACTAAACACACTTCCTAAAGTTAAGAATCGTCTGTAATTTTCCTTCTTTTCTCTGTTTCGAAGGGCCGAACACTTTCTAAACTAAGTACTCGAAACATGGAAGTTTCAAACCCTGAAAAAGATATAATCAGGGTAGGTGGATGATTAGTAAATATAGTGGTGATCATCTTCATTTTTGGTCACCTCAAGCTGTAAACAAAAATGACTATTGCTTCCCACCTGGTATAATAAAATCTTTGGAGGCCGGTTGATGTATGGGGAGGTACATAACTAAAGCCCGGGAATCCCCATCAAGCACTATTCTTCTTGGACACACACACCAGGATACTCGAAAAGGAAGCAATTGAAATTGAGAACTTCTCTAATTATTCTTTAATTGGTAAACTACAAGAAGTTATCATATTCACTTTCGTAGTGGAGATTGAAAAAAATGCCTAACAAGCCACCCTAAACAAGAACATGAAACAAACATTACTAGTAAGGATTATAACAGGAACAAACAAGAAAAGCAAACAACATGAAGCTACAATAATCTCTTCAAGACAGAATTATCCAATATAATTCAATTCCTAAACACCATGCCTTGCCTGGAATTCCTTCATGAATGCAACCAATTTCTCAACCCCAGCCAAGGGCATAGCATTGTATATTGAAGCTCTCATGCCGCCAACCGACCTATGCCCCTTCAGCTGTATCATCTTCTCCTTGGCTGCTTCTTTCACAAACTCCGCTTCCAACTCCGGCTTTGCCAATGTAAATGGAACATTCATCAATGACCTCACGCTTTTTTCCACTGGACACCTAAAGAACCCTTTGCTCCCGTCAATGGTGTCATACAAACTCTGTGCCTTCTTCACATTCTTCTTCTCCACCTCGCTTAATCCACCCTGAGCAATGAGATCCTCGAACACAAGTCCACACATATAAATGCCGAAGCAAGGGGGCGTATTGTACAGTGAATTATTCTCAGCGTGGATCTTGTAATCCAGCATTACAGGAGTATCTGGCTGCGCATTTCCAATCAAATCCGATCTTATTATCACAATTGTAACCCCAGATGGACCGACATTTTTCTGGGCTCCGGCGTAGATCACCCCAAATTTACTCACATCCACTGGCTTGGAGCAAAAATTGGATGACATATCAGCTACAAGCAACGAATTTTCATTATTCGGAACTGGATAATCCTTGAATTCGACCCCGTGAATGGTTTCGTTAGCACAAATGTGCAAGTATTTGGCTTCGGGCGTTTGCTCAAGGGCGCCAAAGCTGGGGATATTGACGTATTTCTCAGATTTCCCGCTCCAAATGGTCTTGGGCTTGCAGTATTTGGAGGCTTCTTTTGAGGCCTTGTCTCCCCAGGAGCCTGTGACGATGTAATCGACGGGGTCATCCGGGTTGCAGAGATTGAGGGGGACGGCGGCGAATTGGGTGGTGGCGCCACCTTGGAGGAAGAGGACGTAGTAATTCTCCGGAATATTGAGCAGGGTCCGGAGATCTGACTCGGCCTTCTGAATGATCGAGAGAAATTCTTTGCCTCGATGGCTCATCTCCATGACAGACATGCCAGATCCCCGCCAGTTGTAGAGCTCCGATTGGGCCTTGAGGAGGACGTTCTCAGGAAGGATGGCGGGACCGGCAGCAAAGTTGAACACGCGATCTGGGGAGGTGACGCCGGTGGTGGCTGCCGGAGTTTGAAAGGTGGTGGATGAGCATGTGATGCGCTTGTTTACAGTAGTGGTAGCGGCGGTAAATGAGCGGGAAAGGGTAGTGGGGAAGGCGTTGATTTGGGTGTTGGACTTGAGGAGGGAGTTGGGGTTGGTGGCAGCAGCGGCTGACATGGCGGCCATGGTTCTGTCTGTCCTTCTATCAAACAGAGATTTGGCACAAGTGAAATGGAAGTGACGGTGGTGTATTGTGCCGGAATTTGTATATATAGGTTGGGCTATGCTACGTGTACACATTGATGTACACAAAGTTTTACACTTCAATCACATGGAGGGGGGTCTGCACACAATAAACTATTTGTGGACCCCCTTTCATGTGAAGGGTGTAAAATTTTGTGTACACATCGTAGCATTTTCCACGTTGGAAAGTGAAAAATCTACCATTGTTGGCAAGGGTTGGTGAGATTCAAATCAATTATTTTTAGGTATAACCCCCTATACTATACATTTCTTGACTCTCAAGTTTGATCACTTTGTCAATGTGGAATTTTAGCCCTCGTTTGACTCCCATTATTTCAAATTATAATTTTTTTTGGAGAATGTAGTTTAAAAAGAAAGAACATGTTTTGATTTACGTATAATATTATTTTATAAAAAATTATATGGTTGAAAATAAAAAAGATAAATAATTTTTTGGAATAATGAGAGCGAAACGGGGCTTAATTTTTAGGAATATAATTCATATACAATTCTTGTATATTCAAGTTTGATCACTTTGTCGGTCAAACTAACGTCAAGTCTTACTTTTTAAGTATAATTCCTTTAAATTTCTTGATTGTTCAAGTCTGATAACTCTGTCGATGAAATCAACGTCAAATCTTATGTGTACGTTGTTAAGATCACTTTGTATTTTTGGACATTTTACGTGTAAAATCAATTGGAAGTAAAAGGATTTCATTGCCTAGTTAATCTTTCTTTAGCATGATTTACGTGTAAATTCAAAGTTTTCCTTTATTTTTTAACACACATTTTATATCAATCTACTATTCAATAATTCATTTTTTACCGAATAATGAGACTCAAAAAATGTTCCACTAGTACACTTTTTCCTTAAATGTGTACAAATGGACAGTGACTAAGGGTGTGTTTGATCCACATTATTTTGGAAGAATGTATTCTGGAATAGTAGATTAATGGAGAATTTGTGGTTGAAAAAGAAGGAAAAATTATTGATGTGGTGGAAAATATTATTTTATTGAATAATGTGTGGTTGTGTTTCGCGCGTTTACTCGCTAACAATTAAAAAGGGATCAGACGATTGTGTAATGGACAAATCTCTTGGAACAAAGTCCCAAAAGGAGGTGTTTATTGAATATGAAGATTACAATTTGGACGCGAACAAGATGCCTCGAAGGGGCGCAAGCACACAAGTACAAGGGAATTGAAATAACTAAAATTAATCTAAGAAAACGTAAATTACATATTCTCTGTTTAAGAGCAAATTTTTTCGGGGTTCTCTTCATTGTCTTCTTCTTTCTTTTATACGGTTTGGATAGTTTTTAATCGTTTAGAAACTGTTTGTAACTACTCATTTCTTTCATAATGGCCGACTGACCAATAACTACCGTGTATAACTCCTATCACCACGTCTTCTTCATAACTGTTTGTCACTAACTTTCTCAAATCGTGGAGCGTAATTGTGATGTGCTCAAACCGCCTTAAATTGTGATTTTGGATAACATTAAGCTTTAGTCATCGCTGGGACTTTGGACGGCTCAGCATTTTTGGGCGACAATTGGTCTTCTACTCTGGGCGATTACAGGATACTTCATTCGCTTAACATCTGGGCATTCTGTAGGCTTGGACGACGACGTACCTTTGTTTTTGGGCTTTCATCATATTTAATGATATTCTTGGTCGGGTTTTTACCATGATCTCTCTAAATGAGCTCCTTCTCTTGGGTCATTTCCTTTCTTGGGCCATTTGAATTGGGCTGCACATTTTGTGTGTCAACAGGTTGAAAATGAGTAAAAGAATGAAAATGAAAATTTTAATGTATACCAAATAAGAGCTAAATTGAAATCGTAAGAAAATTTTAGTGATTAATTTGAAGAAAATAAATTTTAAGCAATTTGTTGCAACTTTCAGGACCCACTGCCTTTTAAGTTTCGTATTTCTCTGGGGGAACAATTTCATACGCCCGACCTGCCATAATTATCGCAACTGGATACAAGTGAATATTCTTCTAATCAATTTAATATTTGATAAAATTGCAATTTGTAAAGTAGCATAGTATTTGAATTTGAATTAATAGCAGAAAATCCCTAAAAACGTTTTCATGTATGATATATTATCTTACGAATTGAAAATTGCAAAAAACCTTTTTATTTGGAATCTTTTGTGCGAAAAATTCACTATCGTCAAGATCTGTTAAATTATCATTAAAATAATAAAAAATGCTAAAATTAAAATTGAATAATTACAATTTTAGTGCCCAGATTTTTTTATTTTTTTACAAATTAAATTCAAAATTTTCATACAACTACAATTTCAAATCTTTAAAACTTTATTTTCCATTCCACCTCAACCCCAATTGGTCATTTTCCCAACGTCCCAAATTTTATGGATCATTTCCTCCAAAACCCCAATACTAATTTGCCTAAAAAATCTAAATGACCGTGTCACGAGCTTTGTACACACAAGTAATAGATAGAGGAAATAAGTGGAAATGGCCGGTTGATCCGACCATTTTTCTACTTTAGCATTTGACCACTTAAAAAAACATAAATTGTGAATTTAATAGCAAAAGCCAAAAATACCCTCATTTTCACCTCTCACACACAAGAACAGTGGAGAAAAAGAAAAAAAATCTTAATCGGGATCCAGTCGACCACAACGCCGCTCACAATTGGCAACCCAACCACCAACAACCAGTCACTGACGAAGTGATCTTTAACAAGTTTAGTTTTTTGTTGTGATAATATTTCGATTTTTCTTAAATGGTAAAGTTTAGATTTAACATTTATTTATTTTTAGTTCATTATTTAGGTATATGATTGAGTATAAAATATGTTTTTTTTTTT